CATCACGCCTGGCCAAGAGATGAGGTCTTGCTATGTTGCCTAGGGTGGATTCAAACTCTTGGGCTGAAGTGATCTACCTGCCTCAGCCTCATGTAGCTTGGACTACAGGCTCATATAAAAGAGGACCTTGTTCAAAAGAGGACCCTTGATCCTTTTTTCTCTGCCAGAGTTTCCATGTTTCCATCAGCCAGCTACCCAAAAAGCCTAAATATTTTCCAATTTTTAAAAATTGTGATAACTGAGGCTGATGCAAGAGAATTGCCTAAGCCCAAGAGCTGGAGGTTGTGTGAGCTGTGACACCATGGCACTCTACCAAGGGCGATGGAGTGAGACTCTGTTTCTAAAAAAAAAAAAAAAAAAAATGTGTGGGTGGTGCCTGTGGCTCAAGGAGCCTAGGATACTGACCCCATATGCTAGAGGTGGTGGGTTCAAACCCAACCCTGGCCCCCCTGCCAAAAAAAAATTGTGGTAACTGACTACACACTTGATTCTCCTTCTTCACCTCTCATGTGTACTCTTAACAGTTCTATCTCTTTTTTTTTTTTTTTTTTTTTGAGACAGAGCCTAGGTAGAGTGCCATGGCATCACAGCTCATAGCAACCTCCAACTCCTGGGCTTAAGTGATTCTTTTGCCTCAGCCTCCCAACTAGCTGGGACTACGGGCATCTGCCACAACACCCGGCTATTTTTTTCTTGGTTGTAGTTGTCATTGTTGTTTGGCAGGCCCAGGCTAGATTTGAACCTGCCAGCTCTGGTGTATGTGGCTGGCACCTTACCTCCACCTTCTTCCACCCTTCTACTTCTAACATTTTCACTCCAGTCCAAGCTACCAGGTTTCCACCCTGTGCCACCACAAGGGCCTAAAAAGATTCATCATTTCCCCTCCTTACTCTCCAGCCCAGTCTTTGCTCTGCAGCCAGAGTAGCCATGACATTATACTAGTTAAAGCCCTCATAGTGGGCCATCTTTCCACCATGCTCTAGGAAAAGCAAGAAATCATCATCAGATTCACAAGGTTTTGTCTGGCATGGCTGCCACTAAGCTCCCCTCCTAGTCACACAGACCATGTTCCATTCCCTTATCTTTTTTTCCTTCAGGGTCTTAGCACATCCTGTTTCTTCTACCTTATGCCAACTCCTCCCTGTTGTTGCTCATCCTTTGGATCTTGACATAAATCCCATCCTCAGAGGTGTCCACCTGATAACTTGGTCCCAGGAAGGCTCTCTGCTCTTTCCTAGCTCAGGGCTTGCATGTCCAGGGGGTATAAAAAATGCTGTTTGAGAGCCAGGCACTGTGTCTCATGCCTTTAACCCTAGTGACCAAGGAGGCTGAGGCAGGATTGCTTAATGCCATGCATTCATGAAAAGATGGGGCAACATAGTGAGATCCCTTTTATAAAAGAAGAACAATTTAGTCAGGTGTGGTGGTGAGCACCTGTAGGTCAGCTACTCTGGAGGCTGAGGCAGGAGCATCACTTGAGCTCGGGATTTTGAGCTATGATACCACTGCACTACAGCTTGGGTAACAGAGCAAGACTGTGTCTAACGAAAAAAGAAACACAACTTGAGTGAATGAGGAATCAGATATTCAGATCCTGTTTGCTCACTTACTGTGCACTGCTCAACAATACTGCCTAAGGATCAGAGAGCCACCAGGTCTGCCTGCCCTTACAGGCCTAGCATCCAGCCAGTAACAATGGAGTCAGGTTTTAAACCTATTTCTTTCTCTTTTTTTCCTTTGAGACAAAGTCTTACTCTGTTGCCCAGGGTACAGTGCCATGGCATGTGTCTAGTTCACAGCAACCTCAAATTCCTAGGTTTAAACAATCTTCTTGTTCAGCCTCCTGAGTAGTTGGGTGCTCACCACAATGCCCAGCTAATTTTTCTACTTTTAGAAGAGATGGGGTCTTACTCTTACTCAGGCTGGTCTTGAACGCCTGAGCTCAAGCACTTCTCTTGCCCGGGCCTCCTAGAATGCTTGGTTTACAGGAATGAGTCACAATGTACCTGGCTTAAAACATTAGGTCAGTAGTTCTCAACCTTCCTATTGCTGCAACCATTTAATACAGTTCCCGTGGGTTGAGAACTGCTGCACTAGGTCTGACTCTGGCATGAGATCTCACCTTGTGATCTACCCAACTTGCTAATAAAGGTGTGATTCCTGGCATTAAAGGTCAGACTCTGCCATGCAAGCTGTATTGCTGTGGCCCACTATAGCTCCTGGGTTGAAACAATCCTAACTCAGCCTGACAGTAGCTGGGACCACAGCTAGGCCTCCCAAAGGCCTGGGATTACAGGCATGAGCCACAGTGCTTGGCCCAGTTTATTTCTATTTCTTTCTTTTTTTTTTTTTTTTTTGAGACAGAGCCTCAAGCTGTCCCCCTGGGCAGAGTGCCATGGCATTACAGCTCACAGCAACCTCCAACTCCTGGGCTCAAGCGAGTCTCCTGCCTCTGCCTCCCAAGTAGCTGGGACCACAGGCGCCCGCCACAACGCCCAGCTATTTTTTGGTTGCAGCCATCATTGTTGTTTGGCGGGTCCGGGCTGGGGATTCGAACCCGCCACCTTAGGTGTACATGGCTGGCGCCTTAGCCGGTTGAGCTATAGGCGCCGAGCCTCTATTTCTTTTTGAGACAAGAGTCTCAAACTGTTGCCCTGGGTAGAGTACTATAACGTCACAGCTCACAGCAACCTCCGACTCTTGTGCTTAACTGATTCTCTTGCCTCAGCCTCCCAAGTAGGGAGGGACTACAGATCTGGGACTACAGATGCCCACTTCAATACCCAGCTATTTTTTGTTGCAGTTGTAGTTGTTTAGCAGGCCTGGGCCGGGTTCGAATCTGCCACCTTCGGTGTATGTGGCAAGCACCCTACCCATACACTGAGCTATGGGCACTGCCTTCTATTGCTGCTTCAACAGTTTTTTTTCAGGGACAGAATCTCACTTTGTTGACCTTGGTAGAGTGCCATGGCATCACATCTCACAGCAACCTCCAGCTCTTGGGCTTAAGCTAATCTCTTGCCTCAGCCTCCAGAGTAGCTGGGACTACAGACGCCCCGCCACAGCACCCAGCTATTTCTTTTTTGTTGTTGCAGTTTGGCTGGGGCTGGGTTTGAACGCACCACACTCCGTATATGGAGCTGGCGCCCTACTCACTGAGCCACAGGCGCTGCCCTCAACAGTCTTAACATCCAATATGTGGTGGAGGGAGGTCCATGCTAGATGTGTATTCACTAGCGACTAAAATTGGCAGTGTCTTTGACATTTAAACTGAGACTAGGGAGACAGATAATAAAAAGGCTACTCAAGAAATGTGCAGGAAGGGCAAAGGGCAAAGGACACAAAGTAAGCTGAGACCTGGAAAACGAGGAAGAGCATGCATGAGAGGAGTGAGGTGAGTGAGGACATTCCAGGCTGAGAACCCAGACTGTAACACCTGACTTTGGGGAGTGCTTGTCAAAGTTGGCGAAATTCTTTTAAAATACAAGTGAAGCAGTAGAGAGGCTCAGGGCCTTCACACACAGAACAAGGTTCCTCCTGCTCCTTTTCTGTTTGTATTCAAAAGTCGTCTTCACAGCGAGGTGGTCTCTAAGATACTCTATTTAAAATTTCCAGGATCCTCTCTCCCTAACCTCATCTCCTCCGTACACTGAGCATTTTACCTTTTTTTTTTTTTTGAGAGAGAGATTCAAGCTGTCGCCTTGGGTAGAGTGCCATGGCATCACAGCTCACAGCAACCTCCAACTCCTGGCTTAAGCGAGTCTCTTGCTTCAGTATCTCAAGTAGCTGGGACTACAGGCGCCCGTCACAACACCCGGCTACTTTTTGGTTGTAGTTGTCATTGCTGTTTGGCAGGCTCGGGCTGGATTCGAACCCGCCAACTCGGGTGTATGTGGCTGGCGCCTTAGCTGTTTGAGCTACAGACGCCGAGCCAGCATTTACTTATTAATCTTGCTTCTTTTTTTTTTCTTGAGACAGAGCCTCAAGCTGTCCCCCTGGGCAGAGTGCCGTGGCATTACAGCTCACAGCAACCTCCAACTCCTGGGCTCAAGCGAGTCTCCTGCCTCCGCCTCCCAAGTAGCTGGGACCACAGGAGCCCGCCACAACGCCCGGCTATTTTTTTGGTTGCAGCCGTCATTGTTGTTTGGCGGGTCCGGGCTGGGGATTCGAACCCGCCACCTTAGGTGTACGTGGCTGGCGCTTTGGCCGGTTGAGCTATAGGCGCCGAGCCTAATCTTGCTTCTTGTCTTCCTCCCTCACTAGATCGTGGGCTCCACGACCTCCAGTAGGAGGTCATTAAGTATTGGGTAAGGTAGTGACCCGCACTCGGTATAGTTTTCTTTTTTTGATAGTCTCGCTTTGTCGCCCTCGGTAGAGTGCCGTGGCGTCATAGATCACATCAACTTCCAATTCTTGGACACAAACGATTCTCTTGCCTCAGCCTACCGAGTAGCTGGAACTGAGGGCACCCGCCGGCTAGGCAGTAGGTAGGTTTTGCAAAAAGGCTGCCACGGCCACGCTCCCGCTCCCCGCCAGGCCCCGTCGCCCCAGACCAGGGATCAAAGCGGTTCCCAGGCACGCCCTTAGCCTGCGAGCTGACTCTGCCCTATCCAGGCCCAGCGTGCCTGACTCTCGCCCCCATACAAGGCCCCAGGTACCCACTGGGGAGCCTGAAAGCTCCTCCACCATGCCCTCGCCATAGACCCCAATGCCACCCCATTCCACCCCCCACACCCGCACCCGCACCTCCCCTCCGCTGCCGCCGCCTCAGCCTCCGCAGTGGCGTCCGCTCTGCGCATGCTCGGCCTCGTGAGACCGCGCGGCGTGCGGAGGACGAAGATACCTGTGCGCAGACTCCAGTACGTCGCACATAGAGTAGGGAGGCGCTTCGACCGCGCGTTCATTATTCTGGCCACGCCCACCTCCTCTAGCCCCTGGGCTGGCGCGCACGCGCATGGGGGAGCGGAAAGGCGGGCAGGCACGCGCGCATAGGAGGCCGGGCGGGCAGCGGAAACTGAGGAGACAGTCCGCGGGCACGGGAAAGGAAGCGGCGAGTGCGCGCGCAGCGGAGGCGCGGGCGCCGTGTATTGGGGGGGGCCGCCAAGTAGGGCGGGCGCGCGCGCGGCTTCCCCTCGCTCGGCTGCGGCGGCTTCTTTGTTTCGTGAGGAGAGAAGAGACACCCACTCAGTCCTCTGGCCCCGCGCAGAGGGGCGGGGGCAGCGCTGCGAAGGCTACGGCGCCGGCAGTTCCCGGTAAGAAACTCGGGCCCGGGAGAGCGTAGCGCGGGGCTTGGGAGGACGGTTTGAATGAAGCTGGGGCGCCGAGGGGGAGGGGGCCGCCGGCGCCTGGAACGGGGCTGGGGTACGGTGGCGCTGAAGGATCAAGAAACCTGGCTGGCAGCCGCGCGCACAGGGTAGGGTACTGTGTAGTGAGGCCGTGGAGGCTAAAGTATCTGCGGGCCAGTCGGGTGCGGGCCGCGTGGAGGCCGCGCCCCCCCACCCCTCCGTGCGCGCTCTCTCTTGGGTCGCCGGACAAAGATCGGTCTCCTACCTTCCCCTGGCTGGCCTGGGTTCCGGCCCCCATTCGCAGACTGTGTTGGGGCGGCTGCAACAATAGGCAGGCGTCGGGGCTTTTCTGACAATGTTGTAACGGGTCGGACCCAAAGGCTGCCTTTTTGACTGGGCTGCGATCGGGACTCTAGCAAACCCCCCAGCTGTGTCCAGCGTAGCTTGGACACTAGCATTCATTAGCAGCCCCTTTATGTTAACAGAACTTAAATTTTATTAAAAATGCCCTCATTCCAGATTGTCAAGGAAAGGCAATTGACTCCTCTAATTTTTTCCAGTTAGTGACATGAAATGTTTTGGGCCCGAAGTGACGGGATGGGGGAAAGGGGGTTCCGCGGCTGGTTGGGGAAGACGGAGGAAACTGCTGCGGAAAGCATTGTTTTTCTTTTGCGTTCTCCCTTCCCCCTAGTCAGTTGGTTAAGATTAAGCCTTTTATCTAAAACATGGACATTTTAGGAGAGTGTTTTGTACCTATCTTCAAGACTTCAATCTTGGTTTTTTTTTTTTTTTTTTTTTTTTTTGAGACAGAGCCTCAAGCTGTCCCCCTGGGTAGAGTGCCGTGGCATTACAGCTCACAGCAACCTCCAACTCCTGGGCTCAAGCGAGTCTCTTGCCTCCGCCTCCCAAGTAGCTGGGACCACAGGCGCCCGCCACAACGCCCGGCTATTTTTTGGTTGCAGCCGTCATTGTTGTTTGGCGGGTCCGGGCTGGGGATTCGAACCCGCCACCTCAGGTGTACGTGGCTGGCGCCTTAGCCGGTTGAGCTATAGGCGCCGAGCCACAATCTTGGTTTTTAGTTATTTATTTTTTTGGTCAGTGACTCTTTGGGGAAAATAGAATTGGAATAAGGGGAAGCTCCATTTCTCAGGAATTTGAAGCAAGTTTTCAGTTTGGATTGACAGGCTGGATTCAAGTTTAATCCTTGGCCCTGGTAGTCACTTAGCTGTGTGACTTTAGGCCAAGTGGCTTAATTTGAATTTCTTAGTTACCTCATTTGTGAAAGGGCTGTAAAATGGTTCCTGGCAGATGGGAGGACTATAATTATTGTCTGGTTCAAGCTCCTCTTTCATCGTTGAGGAAATACTTGTTGGGTCTCCACTGGGTGTTGGAAAATTGGGGTGGATGCCTCTGGTCTTGTAGAGGAACTGGTATATAGGTGGGAGCAACCCCCTTTGGCCTATCATTGAATCCTTACAACCTGCAATGTTGCCTGTGTTGAAGGACACAGGCAAGGGATCCCAAGTAGGCAGGGATTAGGGAAGCTGCACAGAAGAGGGGTCCTTCACTCATTATCGTGGAGAAGGTACAGGCTTGTATTTTCACTCTGCCTAGTACCTTGGACCAATAATTATTCCCATCTGCTACACCTGTACATCACCTTGGTCCTTTCTTGTGTAGCTTGTCTGCCTGGTTTGCTCCTGCATACCTGGGGCCTAGCACATGGTCCTAAGTAAGCCTTTGTGGAATGAATGATGAGGAGGTCCTTGGAAGGATCATCTGTGTAAAGCACTTGACACATGACTTGAGAGTGGCTTGTAAGCGATACATATTAGTTGCTGTTGCTGGTTTTATTTTATTTATTTTTGAGATAGTGTCTTACTCTGTCTCCTGGGCTGGAGTGCAGTAGTGTCATCATAACTCACAGTAATTTCAAACTTCTGGGCTCAAGGGATCCTCCTGCCTCAGTCTCCCAAGTAGCTGGGCACATGTCACCAAACTTGGCTAATTTTTCTTTCTTTCTTTCTTTTTTTTTTTTTTGTAGAAATGGGGTCCCTCTTTTGCTCAGGCTGGTTTTGAACCCCAGGCCTCAAGCAGTTCTCCTGTCTTGGCCTCATAAAGTTCTAGGATTACAGGTGTGTATGCCCAGCCTGTGGTAGGTTTTGAACTTTGTAGGTTGTTGTTTCCCAAACTTTAGTTGCTCCCCCTCCCCCGGCCCCCACCTGGTAGGGTTTGTTTGGTGTGTAGTATAGGGTGGTGGTGAGGATGGAGCCTTCTTGGAATCAGAACTGCTAGCTAGCAAAGCACTTCCCAGGAAGGGCCCCCTACTTGTGAAACAGGTAGGACAAGGATGCCACCTCAGATGGTTCTTGTGAGAATTGAACAAGGTGCTTAACACAGTGAGCCACCTGGCACCTAGTGAGCTTTTGATTTGTTAAAATGTTTATTTTAGCCAGGGCGATTAGCTCAGGCCTGTAATCCTAGCACTGTGGGAGGCCGAGGCAGGTGGATTGCCTGAGCTCATGAGTTCGAACCAGCCTGAGCCAGAGCAAGACCCCGTCTCTAAAATTAGCTGGGCCTTGGCAGCACCTGTACTCAGGGGATAGGGCACCAGCCACATACACCAAGGCTGGCTGGTTCAAACCTGGCCTGGGCTAGCTAAAACAGCAATGACAGCTGCAAAAAAAAAAAAAAAAAGCCAGGCATTGGGTGGCTGAGGCAAGAGAATTGCTTAAGCCCAAAAGTTTGAGGTTGCTGTGAGCTGTGATGCTATGGTACTCTACCCAGGGCAGTGGCTTGAGACTCTATCAAAAAAAAAAAAAAAGAATGTTTATGGGTGGCGCCTGTGGCTCAAGGAGTAGGGCCCTGGCCCCCCATACCCTGGAGGTGGCCGGTTCAGACCCAGCCCCGGCCAAAAAACTGCAAAAAAAAAAAAAAAAAGTTTATTCATTTGTATTTTTTGGAAATCAACTGTTTAAATAACTAAAAACATTTAGAGTCATCCTGCATCCTGAACCCTACCTTTGATGTGCTGAAAAATATATATTCTAATTTTCACTAAAATCAATAATGCATAATTAGGAAAGTAATAATTAGGCATACTCCATGTATTACCTAAAATCATTTTGTGTCCAGCCCTTTAGGGGGTGTTGATCTTGCAGGGTTTTTTGTTCTGTGTTTGTTTTTTTGAGACAGAGTAGTCTCACTCTGTTGCCCTGGGTACAGTGCCATGGCATCAAATCTCCCAGCAAGCTCAAATTCCTGGGCTCAAGCAATCTTCTTGCCTCAGCCTCCTGAGTAGCTTGGACTACAGGCAACCTGTGCAAGGCATGCTGTATTTTTAGAGACAAAGTCTCACTCTTTCTCAGGCTGGTTTCTAACTCTTTTTCTTTTCTTTTTTTTTTTTTTTTTTTTTTTTTTTTTTTTTTTTTTGAGACAGAGCCTCAAGCTATCCCCCTGGGTAGAGTGCTGTGCCATCACAGCTTACAGCAACCTCTGACTCCTGGGCTCAAGTGAGTCTCCTGCCTCAGCCTCCCAAGTAGCTGGGACCACAGGTGCCCGCCACAATGCCTGGCTACTTTTTGGTTGCAGCCGTCATTGTTTGGTGGGCCCAGGCTGGATTCGAACCTGCCACCTTAGGTGTATGTGGCTGGCACCTTAGCTACTTGAGCCACAGGCGCTGAGGCTGGTCTCTAACTCTTTAAGCTCAGGGGATACACTTGCCTTGGCCTCCCATAGTGCTAGGATTACAGGTGTGAGCCACCATGCCCCCTTGCCCACTCTGCTGATCTTGATTTGACCTAGGGTGGTGATGTCATCAGAGGTGTGGTATAGGGCAGTGCAGTGGTCTCCAGACTTCTGTTGGTGAAAAGCACCCTAGCATATATGTGATGTGTATTTATTTATTTATTATTATTTATTTATTTTTAGTGACAGAGTCTCACTTTATTGCCCTTGGTAGAGTGCCATGGCATCACAGCTCATAGTAACCTCCAATTCCTGGGCTTAGGCAATTCCCTTGCCTCAGCATCCCCTTGCCTCAGCATCCCCAGTAGCTGGGACTGAGTAGCTCGGACTACAGGCACCCACCAGAACGCGGAGCTATTTTTTTGTTGCAGTTTGGCCAGGGCTGGGTTTGAACCTGCCACCCTCCGTATATGGGGCCGGTGCCCTACTCACTGAGCCACAGGCGCTGCCCCTTACATGTGTATTTATCTATAAATTATTTGGATACCTTGTCACTCCTTGTAAACCCTCAAAACATTGGGAAGTAACCTTAGATCAATTCTATGCCTTTTTTCTTCTTTTTCTTCTTCTTTTTTTTTTTTTCTTGAGTCAGAGCCTCAAGCTGTTGCCCTGGGTAGAGTGCTGTAGTGTCACAGCTCACAGCAACCTCAAACTCTTGGGTTTAAGTGATTCTCTTGTCTCAGCCTCCTAAGTAGCTGGGACTACAGGCACCTGCCACAAGGCCTGGCTATTTTTTTTTTTTTTTTTGAGACAGAGTCTCACTATGTCACCCTTGGTAGAGTGTTCTGGCATTACAGCTCACAGCAACCTCAAACTGTTGGGCTAAGAGATTCTCTTGCCTCAGCCTCCCAAGTAGGTGGGACTACAGGCTCTTGCCGCAATGCCTAGCTATTTTTTTGGTTGGTTTGTTTTTGCTGTAGTTGTCATTGTTTGACAGGCTCGGACTGGGATTGAAGCCACTTGCTCCGGTGCATGTGTCTGGTACCTTAGTTGCTGAACTACAGGCGCTGAGCCTGGCTATTTTTTGTTGTTGCAGTTGTCATTATTGTTTAACAGGCCTTGCCTGGGTTTGAACCTGCCAGCCCCAGTGTATGTGGCTAGTGCCAAGCCTTGTTTTTTTTTTTTGAGACAGAGTGTCACCTTGTCACCCTTAGTAGAGTGCTGTAGCATCATTGCTCACAGCAACCTCCAACTCTTGGGCTCAAGCAGTTCTCTTGTCT